ATGATTTGGATACAACAGTCTGATTTGGATACAACAGTATGATGTGGATACAACAGTATGATTTGGATACAACAGTCTGATACAACAGTATGATTTGGATACATCAGTCTGATTTGGATACAACAGTATGATGTGGATACAACAGTATGATGTGGATACAACAGTCTGATTTGGATACAACAGTATGATGTGGATACAACAGTACAACAGTTTGACTTGGATACAACAGTCTGATTTGGATACAACAGTATGATTTGGATACAACAGTATGATTTGGATACAACAGTATGATTTGGATACAACAGTATGATGTGGATACAACAGTTTTATTTGAATACAACAGTATGATGTGGATACAACAGTTTTATTTGGATACAACAGTCTGATTTGGACACGGATACAACAGTCTGATTTGGATACAACAGTATGATTTGGATACAACAGTCTGATACAACAGTGTGATTGGATACAACAGTCTGATTTGGATACAACAGTATGATTTGGATACAACAGTCTGATTTGGATACAACAGTATGATTTGGATACAACAGTCTGATTTGGATACAACAGTATGATTTGGATACAACAGTATGATTTGGATACAACAGTCTGATTTGGATACAACAGTCTGATTTGGATACAACAGTCTGATTTGGATACAACAGTATGATTTGGATACAACAGTATGATTTAGATACAACAGTCTGAATTGGACCAGTCTGATTTGGATACAACAGTCTGATTTGGATACAACAGTATGATTGGGATACAACAGTCTGATACAACAGTATGATTTGGATACAACAGTCTAATTTGGATACAACAGTCTGATTTGGATACAACAGTGTGATTTGGATACAACAGTCCAATTTGGATACAACAGTCTGATTTGGATACAACAGTCTGATTTGGATACAACAGTCTGATTTGGATACAACAGTATGATTTGGATACAACAGTATGATTTGGATACAACAGTCTGATTTGGATACAACAGTCTGATTTGGATACAACAGTATGATTTGGATACAACAGTATGATTTGGATACAACAGTCTGATTTGGATACAACAGTATGATTTGGATACAACAGTCTGATTTGGATACAACAGTCTGATTTGGATACAACAGTATGATTTGGATACAACATTATGATTTGAATACAACAGTTTGATTTGGATACAACAGTCTGATTTGGATACAACAGTATGATTTGGATACAACAGTATGATTTGGATACAACAGTATGATTTGGATACAACAGTATGATTTGGATAGACCAGTTTGACTTGGATACAACAGTCTGATTTGGATACAACAGTATGATTTGGATACAACAGTCTGATTTGGATACAACAGTATGATTTGGATACAACAGTATGATTTGGATACAACAGTCTGATTTGGATACAACAGTCTGATTTGGATACAACAGTCTGATTTGGATACAACAGTATGATTGGATACAACAGTTTGATACAACAGTATGATTTGGATACAACAGTCTGATGTGGATACAACAGTCTGATTTGGATACAACAGTCTGATTTGGATACAACAGTCTAATTTGGATACAACAGTATGATTTGGATACAACAGTCTGATTTGGATACAACAGTCTGATTTGGATACATCAGTCTGATACAACAGAATGATGTGGATACAACAGTCTGATTTGGATACAACAGTATGATTTGGATACAACAGTCTGATTTGGATACAACAGTATGATTTGGATACAACAGTCTGATTTGGATACAACAGTCTGATACAACAGTATGATTTGGATACAACAGTATGATTTGGATACAACAGTCTGATTTGGATACAACAGTCTGATTTGGATACAACAGTGTGATTTGGATACAACAGATACAACAGTATGATTTGGATACAACAGTCTGATTTGGATACAACAGTCTGATTTGGATAGACCAGTTTGATTTGGATACAACAGTATGATTTGGATACAACAGTCTGATTTGGATACAACAGTATGATTTGGATACAACAGTCTGATTTGGATACAACAGTCTGATTTGGATACAACAGTCTGATTTGGATACAACAGTCTGATTTGGATACAACAGTCTGATGTGGATACAACAGTCTGATACAACAGAATGATTTGGATACAACGGTCTGATTTGGATACAACGGTCTGATACAACAGTCTGATACAACAGTCTGATACAACAGAATGATTTGGATACAACAGTCTGATTTGGATACAACAGTCTGATTTGGATACAACAGTATGATTTGGATACAACAGTCTACAACAGAGCTTTCCTGATTTGGATACAACAATTCAGTCTGATTTTATTTGGATAACAGTTTATTTATAAAATGTTGTATCTTTATCTACTTGTAGTTACTTCAGCCAATCTAATCCCCTTAATTTCCATGTTTATTGTTGCTTTACATCCTACCAACAGCCAAGGTCATTTAAGGATGTGCCAGATTTGGGTTATGGAGGAATGCCAGAGTTCCTGGAGAAAAACCATGGCAGTCCAACATAGGCCTCCGACCTTCTTTTATGTTGTTCCATGTCAACCATCACCTTTTTACATCTGTGTCATTCCTTCTGTGTAAATTTACATCTGTGTCATTCCTTCTGTGTAAATTTACATCTGTGTCATTCCTTCTGTGTAAATTTACATCTTTCCTTTTTTATAAACACTTCTATTTCTGTATTCTATTTATCATTCTTTATTTAATTCTCTGTGACTCTGTCTGTCCATCATTTCAATTTTTACTTCTATATCAACCCCTGTCTGTAATTCCCACAATTCAGTTTTTCCCTCTGTCTATCAACCTTCATTTCTATTTATCATTCTTTATTTAATTCTCTGTGACACTGTCTGTCCATCATTTCAATTTTTACTTCTATATCAACCCCTGTCTGTAATTCCCACAATTCCGTTTTTCCCTCTGTCTATCAATCTTCATTTCATTCTCTGTGATTCTCTCTGTCCATTTTCTTTTCCCTTTTCTGTCATGCCTTCGAGTAGACCCTAGAGAGTATGTGTTTGACTTTATTTGACTCTTCCTCTCCAAAACCATCCTTGAGTATGTCAAGGTCATTGTCACACCTGAATTGGGGCAACTCTTAGAGATAAACAATTTATACCTACACAAACACTTGATGTTTTCAAGTGGTCCCTCCTTGTGGTAGTGAAGAATGCTTATTACATTTGAGTATAAACAATAGGTCACTGCCACAACAAAACACTTGAAGTTTGCAGGGTGAGACAGAGGAGAGTAGGACAATGGCCCGTTATGTATGATAAAAATCTGCATCTAGACAGTGCTAACATACTGCTGTAAAAGAACCTTACATTAATCTTGCACCTACAAAATCTATAACATGTGTCAAATCTGAAATTGTGCAGTCATGCACTCAAATGCACCAGTGTGATTTAAAGCATGTCAGAGTAATCCATTAATAGTAGAAAGAAATCAGAATATTAAAGTGATTAAAAAGTTTTGACAGATCAGCATGTTTTAGACATTAAATATATGCTGTCACTGTGACACTTGAGTTCATTTGAAAAAGTCTATTAAGAAGTAGGTCTTGATACTAAAATCAACATACCATATCATTGACAAGGTTGTTGACATCAAATCAAACATTCAAAGATTGACACAACTATCAAAATCACATACCAACAAACATACCAGCAACACGTCAGCTGGCATGTAGGCGAGACAGATTATGTGCACGTATGCAATAGGTAACATGGATAGGTAATGACAGGTAAAGCAGACAGGTAACATGTGCACAGGTGAGAGACACACCTTACCAACTCAACACAGTAACACTTTGCTGGATGTCCATATATACAATGAAAATTTATCATTTTCAGGTTATAGGACCCTTGGGCATCAACTTCACATTTTGAGATGTCAAAAGACTGACCCCAGGGTCAGTACAGTCAAACATTGCTATCACTCATGTGTGACATTGAGTCAGCTGATTACCTGCCAGGTGTAACACATAATTAACTGATCACCACATATCATTACTACTCTAAATAGATCATCACTTATAGATCATACACACATTCCTTTACTCATATACAAGTATACTTTTGGACATTTCTTCAGTTTTCAACTTTTATCACACCCAATAAAAAGATGACCACATCTTGATATTGGTGCTTTGATAAAGTGTGCTAGAATGGATCTTGTTCAATTCTATAATGTTGAGTTAAACATAATCAATTAAAGGATTCAGCAGTACTTTTACACACACTATCCACACCCAAAGTCATTCATTATACCTAACAAGTGATATAAATTACTATGTACTGAATTTTGAAAAAAAGTTAGTTCTTAACATTTGATGTCACTAAGATTTTTATCCTTTTGCTACATGAATATAGTGTTACAATTCAATGTTTGCTGTCACAAAATTTTGATGAAATATCAAAATTCCAGAATCTTGCATCCTTCCTCTAACAAATATCTTTTATTTCTAATGATGGCAGTGAAATTCACGGCCCCAGTTGTTCAAAGGCTGGGTAGAGATAACAAGTGGTTAGTGAAAATTTTCAAAAATCCTTTTGTTTGTTCAGTGGCAGCAATTTGAATTTTTCACTGAACACTGGGTAACATGAACTAAACTTTGAACAACCACAGCCAGAATGTCATAGCAACTTCTCATTGATGGTCTTATTTAGAAACCTGCTTCAACATCTCTGTTAAACTTGATTCATGGAACTTTCCTTGTTAATCTCAAGTTTTGAAAACTCAATCAATATTAAACTGTTACTAAAGAGTACAAGCCTAGTGGTTTTCCATGCTTGACAATCAGGACATCTTTAAAACAATGGTCATGCACAAAGACTTTGTTACTTGACACTGTATACAGTGAAAACTGCTTCACATCAAGTAATTAGCAAAACATGACAACCTTCGGGACTAAAATGATTGTTGCATAATAATTAGCTAAAAGACTTGTATGTAAAATAATGGAAATTAAATTTTAAAACTTACAATTTTGCTGATAAGAGTGGCAATGCGATGCAGATCCTCAGAAAAGTTGTCTGATATCTGTAATTCAATCAGATATGGTAAACTTTAAAACTACTCCACAGTCATCAAACACTACAGAATCTATCTCTTGATAACATATTGCTGCCTTCCCTTCAATAACTTTACAATGATGTTTCTGCTTATATATTTTTTATTTACCATCTAGCTAAAGAAAACAATTCTATTTGATTTTTTTTCACCGAATCTGAACCACAGGCATGACAATCCATCCTTTATTTGAAGAAATTAGCTATAAATTTGGGGGGGGGGGGGGGAGCATTTCACTATAATGGTTCTCACCTTTTTGAAGATGTAAATCCCTTGTGTCTGAGCCCTGCTTATGTCTCCAATATAGATAGCATTGTAGACTGTCTGTAAACAGGTCAGGTAGGTTTGAACTTTTTATACAAAGTGATGTTTTCAACAGCTAATTTTCAAAACAAAGGAATTCATTAATTAAAAATGGGAGCAAACACACGAACAATTATCCACCCATGTGGATAAACAAATAACAGATACTGCATTTTGCAATAAGAGGACTTTTGTCATATGTAATAAATATAATACAGAAAGTAAAATAACTGCTTCAATGAAACTGGTGCTTGTTTCAACCTTTAGCTAATAAAATAAAACTGAAGTTGACAGGAAAATGTTTTCATAATACATAAATTTAAATTACTTGCAGCCAGTTCCTCCTTTTTAAAATTGCTAATTTAGAACAAGTCAAGGGCACATTACAACCTTAAGTAAGGCCCTATCAGGCTGAAGCATATATTATCATATTTAATGCAGTTAAGTAAATTATAAAATTGAAAATACATTACACTGCAAGGAGATATCTACGGTCTGGTCACATACAACATTGATGAAATTAAATGTTAAAGCTGACAATATTTCAATGCACTTAAAAAAATGGACATTGGATCTTCCTATTCCCATACTGAACAAATAATGTATTTCCACCTTTTCATTTCTATATTGCAGCAGTTTTCATTCTATAATTCTAAATCAATATATTACCTTATAGAGTGCCTGCCAGTCTCCGACAGATGCCTGAGTGTTGGTCATTCTGGCCAGAACTCGCTAAAAGTCAACGAAACAATATCAGTATCAAGGCAGTCATGTTGAAAATCGAGCTTATGATATTATTAGAATTTACGTTAGATAACCTAAAAATCACGAAATAAATAAATAAAAATTAAAAAATAAAAAACAAGATCATTCAGTAATATGTGAGCTAGAGGAACTTTGGCCATAGCCTTTTTTTAAGATCCCTTACAATATGATAAGAATTGCTGAAATTGAAAAATCAACAGTTAACATTGAAATGCCTAACATAGTTCTTTTAATGTGGTGTTGACATAGGAAAAGTAAAAATAAACAGATTTCTCATTCTTCAATCAGCTACTAGAAATATTACAATTAGAGGAGACAACAAACAGCCAGGGTCATTTTGAGATGGCTACTATGCTGAATAACATACAGGAAGCCTGTCACACATTCTATCCAGGGTAAATGGATTAAGGGGTCTTGTCTAGCATCCTAACCACAACAGCACAGACCGGTCTGTTGATCAGCTTCATAAGATACACAAACTGACCCATTAGAGATAAAGTAGAACCCACTTAATTTGAACTAGGTTATATTGACAAAGTGGTTAAATTGAAATCAAAAATAATCCCTGTCAAAATGTCTTCTTTGACTTAGTATTTTGACCTCGTTTAGTTTGAAATTGGTTAATTTGAAATCCTGCATTATCTGAAAGGTAAACACTGGCCCTAGACAGCACTAATGAACAGTTTTCACATAGCTTAATTTGAAGGCCACCCCATTGCCCGTGAGCAGTGTTGTCACGCTTTGGTGCGTCTGTGTCTCTAGTTCAATGCCCAGGTAAAAATATGATACAACAGAAATAAATTAGAAGTATTAATCAATGTACAGTGTTTGTCATTTAAACAAAGGTTTTGGTTAGTTTAACTTTGTATGTAGAAGAGAGCGACAGGTGCTTTAAGTGGCTTCGTCCAGCAAGAAGTGTAAACAACTGACAATTGATGTAAAATATGAACTTATTCAAGCTGTAGATAGACTAACAAGCTGTGTCTCTAGTTCAATATTATGAAATTGTAGAAAGAACGTATGCATATGCTTTGTTTCATCATTAACGTGTGATAGATCTGGGTGCTAGAAAAAGCTTATACAGATTAATTTGAAACCCGGTTAATTTGAAGTATTTTTTATTCCCCCGAGGATTTCAATATAACCTGGTTAGACTGTAGTTGAACCACACCTCTTTGTTCTTCATCTGAGGTAGCAAAGTCCAATGCTCTATATACAGAGTTATAATGTGGTCTTCTGGTCGTAGAAGTATTTTAAAGGTCGAGATTGTCTAATTATATGATGAATACATATCTCATAGGTAAAATTTCTATCTACATTGGAAGAAAAGAAATACACAAAACTTATGTAAATCACACTTAAATGACAGCTGCTAGTGGATGCAGTAGTGTAACTCATTGAAGTATAAATTTCTTGTGGATGTGGCTGTGGGTGTGGCTTTGTAGCAGAATATTATTGTTCTACACACACTCAAATCTCCACACCTCCCAAAAGTTATGAACGGAATCAGTTTGAGTGTCAACAACAAGAATTCCCAGTGTTTACGCTGACATTTCAGTTGACATATGAACTGACCATGATATTAAATGTAGTGTTTGAGATGACTGTGACATATGAACTGACCATGATATTAAATGTAGTGTTTGAGATGACTGTGACATATGAACTGACCATGATATTAAATGTAGTGTTTGAGATGACTGTGACATATGAACTGACCATGATATTAAATGTAGTGTTTGAGATGACTGTGACATATGTGACATGATATTAATAGTGTTTGAGATGACTGTGACATATGAACTGACTATGATATTAATTGTAGTGTTTGAGATGACTGTGACATATGAACTGACTATGATATTAATTGTAGTGTTTGAGATGACTGTGACATATGAACTGACCATGATATTAAATGTAGTGTTTGAGATGACTGTGACATATGAACTGACTATGATATTAATTGTAGTGTTTGAGATGACTGTGACATATGAACTGACCATGATATTAAATGTAGTGTTTGAGATGACTGTGACATATGAACTGACTATGATATTAAATGTAGTGTTTGAGATGACTGTGACATATGAACTGACTATGATATTAAATGTAGTGTTTGAGATGACTGTGACATATGAACTGACCATGATATTAAATGTAGTGTTTGAGATGACTGTGACATATGAACTGACCATGATATTAAATGTAGTGTTTGAGATGACTGTGACATATGAACTGACTATGATATTAAATGTAGTGTTTGAGATGACTGTGACATATGAACTGACCATGATATTAAATGTAGTGTTTGAGATGACTGTGACATATGAACTGACCATGATATTAAATGTAGTGTTTGAGATGACTGTGACATATGAACTGACCATGATATTAATTGTAGTGTTTGAGATGACTGTGACATATGAACTGACTATGATATTAATTGTAGTGTTTGAGATGACTGTGACATATGAACTGACTATGATATTAATTGTAGTGTTTGAGATGACTGTGACATATGAACTGACCATGATATTAAATGTAGTGTTTGAGATGACTGTGACATATGAACTGACCATGATATTAAATGTAGTGTTTGAGATGACTGTGACATATGAACTGACCATGATATTAAATGTAGTGTTTGAGATGACTGTGACATATGTGACCATGATATTAAATGTAGTGTTTGAGATGACTGTGACATATGAACTGACCATGATATTAATTGTAGTGTTTGAGATGACTGTGACATATGAACTGACCATGATATTAATTGTAGTGTTTGAGATGACTGTGACATATGAACTGACTGGTCTCATTTACTCACTGTGACATTCTTGATGTGTTTAAGGCAATCGGTCAGCGTTGTAAGCACTTCAATGTTACGTGGGCTCACAAAGAAAGTGATGGCATTCTGCCGCTGGGTCAACACACACAGGTCTCTGAGGGGTTGCATACACCACAATCTGAAATGAAGTCAAATGCACTTTAAAAAAATATCTAAAACACAAAATATGGTTTAGCAGAACTAATTCAATTGTTCATCAGCTTCAATGTGATGTGCTGCCTTAAAACTACAAAATGTCTGTAGATATGAATGCCCTGGCTCCCATGCAAACAAGAATCTGATTGGGACAAGACATGACGAGATGAACAGACATTGGAAATACTATATGCCCCCCTTCCCCTACGCAATAAAAAGGTGGGGTACATACTGACCAATATGGACAAGCTTATTAATATACCTCAAAGTGTACCGCTTAATTAGTGGAATTAGGTAGGGAATTAACACTAATGTTGATTTTATTGTAATAAAACATATACATATATATATATACATAACTTAAAGATACTTTGTGTTGCGATAAAATATTTGAAAAGAATAAAATTGACAGGACAAATGTATTCCGCTAATGTTTTCAGGACTAACGGCCATCTTCAATTATAATAAATGTATTGCCTGAAGATGGCCGTTAGGTCTGAAAACATTAGCGGAATACATTTGTCCTGTCGAATTTATTCTTTTCAAATGTTTAATTGATACACAAAGAAGTACAATAATGCAGTAGCACCTGATTTTGTTTTAGAATATCATGCTCTGATAAAAAAAGTTTTCTCATTAAGAATTGGGGCCATTCAATAATCTATTCTGTGTTGCTGATTTTAGGGGTTAGTGGAGATAATCATGAAATTACTCAAAATGGGCACAATATTTCACAGAGATTCGAAATTTGTTTTTAAAACACTTTTGATGTTTGTACTGTGGAAAATTTCTTCATACCACAAGACAGTAACTGGGGAATAGTGTGATATGTACACAAAATCTGTGACAGTTTTTTTTAATAGATGTGGTTAGGAAACACTAAATACTCACTGTAATGCATGATAGGTTTTTTGTGAAATAAACAATATTTCATAACACAACACAACCCATTAACTTGGATTGCAGGTGTAATATATGTACACCTGAACATTTGTTTGTCTAAACACTACAGCTTATTTATGGCTAAATCCACGTAGGTGTAAAATTGTACACAATAACTAGTAAATGTCACATTCACGCTACAACACTGAATTAATTAATTGTTGAGTGCATTGACACTAAAATTAGTTAAACATTACACATCAGTTATATCAAAAGTTCAACTTGTCAATTTGTTTTTAGGTACATTAAAAATGAAAGTAGAAAAACCTCTGGTAAGTAAACAAGAACTCAATTGTAAACGACATTAATATGAGGCTCTATGCAACTCAAGTGATGTCTTCAAGTACAATTACAGCTATTGTTGATCTGATTTTTTGCATGATGTTATCTGAATTATCATAATACTTTCTTGCACAGCTAGAGATGACATTTTTAACAGATGGTTTTCTCTAGTACAGACACTCACTACTGCAAAGAGTTCTTTGTAAATATTACCTGGTACATTCCAGGTTCCGAGAAATATTTCTCTCTAATTCATTCATTCGTTATGGGAATATGTGTGATTGAAATACTTTTCTAGTAATGCTAAATATAAACTAGTATCAAGAAAGAGGTGTGTTTCGCTGAAAATGGGTATTTACAGGGCGATAAGTACACATGTATAGTATATAGACTGTGAAGGCTGGTCTGTGCTGGTCCAGGTATTGATTACACTCGTCACTCTCTATATATATTACTGTAGATTACATTTCTAGGAAATGAGTCAAGGCTTCAGAGTTTCTTGCACACTTGCAATCATCGTGTCAACTCCAGACATTCTAACCATTTCATGGAAATCATTCCATATTTTATGACTCATTATAAAACAGAACACAGCAAGACAACTACAAGAATGACAGAATTTTTTTATATGTCATATTTCTCCTTTGTGTCATTGAAATTGACATCATGAACTCCGGTTATCTCCTAAGAAAAGCTGTCTTCTTGCACTACTTCCTAAAGAGGTGTGGAACTATTTTTCTGGAACTATAGAGGAAAAGGGTATATGAATCACATCTAGAATTTCTGAAACTGACAAAAAAATCTAATGGAAAACATAGATCAATATACACAGACAAGAGATGGGGTAGACGTTGTAATGAGAGGGACAGCAACAGAATCCTATATGCTACAGTCCATCTATAGAATGATTTGGGTAAATGTGTTTGTGATTTTGAAAGATTGAAAATCATTAACATTATCTGTCACTTCGTATCCAGTTTTCATGAATATTCAATGTAAAATACACAAATTAACAGAATATTATTACAGTAATATGATGCCCTGTTTGAATTATTTAACTGTCAATACCTGTAAACATCACTTCCTTTCAATAATGATAGTGATAATCAACAATTCCTATACTACAGAAGTTTTGTTTTTATTTTGGCAGAGGTAATATTTTGTGGTCATCCCAGCTTGGGAAGGGAGTTAAAATTCCATGTAAATTATGTTTACTAATTGATATACATGTCTACAGGCATATAAAACATTATCTCAGGTTTTGATTTACTGTTATAATGTTAATTGGGTCTTTAATTTGTGATATCTTAAATGAAAGTGAATATAGCAAATTAAATCTCTCACTAACATAAACCAACTGTGCAGTTTCCATAGAGCAACAAATGTAATACTGGTGCTCACCTAAGTTTTCTCATGCCAACTTGGGATCGACAGCGATTCAGAATTCCTGCAAGCATTAAACAGATATCTATACCAGATTTATGTCCTTAACATGGTGCTTTTTTGGTATTTTTTAAAGAGATACATAAATAAATATTTTGTACACTATCAGCTTCAGGACATCAAGTTAAAATGATAAATTTGTGATAAACAGTTGTAAACATGGTAAATTTGTGATAAACAGTCGTAAATATGGTAAATATATGATAAACAGTTGTAAACATGGTAAATTTGTGATAAACAGTTGTAAATATGGTAAATTTGTGATAAACAGTTGTAAATATGGTAAATATATGATAAACAGTTGTAAACATGGTAAATTTGTGATAAACAGTTGTAAACATGGTAAATTTGTGATAAACAGTTGTAAATATGGTAAATATATGATAAACAGTTGTAAACATGGTAAATTTGTGATAAACAGTTGTAAATATGGTAAATATATGATAAACATGCAGTTGTAAATATGGTAAATTTGTGACAAACAGTTGTAAACATGGTAAATTTTCTGATAAACAGTTGTAAATATGATAAATTTGTGATAAACAGTTGTAAATATGGTAAATTTTCTGATAAACAGTTGTAAATATGATAAATTTGTGATAAACAGTTGTAAATATGGTAAATTTTCTGATAAACAGTTGTAAATATGATAAATTTGTGATAAACAGTTGTAAACATGGTAAATTTGTGATAAACAGTTGTAAATATGGTAAATATATGATAAACAGTTGTAAACATGGTAAATTTGTGATAAACAGTTGTAAATATGGTAAATATATGATAAACATGCAGTTGTAAATATGGTAAATTTGTGACAAACAGTTGTAAACATGGTAAATTTTCTGATAAACAGTTGTAAATATGATAAATTTGTGATAAACAGTTGTAAATATGGTAAATTTTCTGATAAACAGTTGTAAATATGATAAATTTGTGATAAACAGTTGTAAATATGGTAAATTTTCTGATAAACAGTTGTAAATATGATAAATTTGTGATAAACAGTTGTAAATATGGTAAATTTTCTGATAAACAGTTGTAAATATGATAAATTTGTGATAAACAGTTGTAAATATGATAAATTTGTGATAAACAGTTGTAAATATGTGATCTACCAATTAAAAATATAAGTACATGTTATACTGCACATTAAATTTTAATTTGAACAAATCTTCCTACCCGGTATCAAAAGTTCAGACTACAGGCCAATGCATTTGTGTAGACATTCAATAGCCGTTTATATCTCTATTCATAACAAACATGCTTAACCCACTCAATTTACAACCACTCAACATTTTAAATGTTGTCTGATAACCTTCCTGTTTTAATTATGACAGATAATGTTATATCCACATTACGTGTGATATCTTATCTGAATTTGTGGGTACAATTTACTGGTGTGATATAATCTTACTTGTAAACACCAACCATTAGATTCCGACGGACATGACACAGTTCAGTATATACAGGTACAATGAATAACATCTTACCAAAGAGACTAAGGCCTTCTTTTGCACTACGAGATCCTGCCTTATATGCAGAAGGATGAGATTCACGTTGAAATATCTGTAGAGAGCTGGTAAATTAATACAAACATGATGTTAAACAGTCTCTGTAACATGAGCGATAACAATAACACAGTATTGAAAACCTATTAGCAAAAATATTCCCATTTCAGATATTAGGCGTAAAGTTATAAACAGTCCATTTAGAGGGTTAAAAATAATGATGAAAGGATGATGTTCTTGTTAACAGACCAATTGAAAAGTAAGGTGGCTAGATTGTCAGGGTTTCACTGTACAGTAAGGTGGCTAGATTGTCAAGGTTTCACTGTACAGCAAGGTGGCTAGATTATCAAGGTTTCACTGTACAGTAAGGTGGCTAGATTATCAAGGTTTCACTGTACAGTAAGGTGGCTAGATTATCAAGGTTTCACTGTACAGTAAGGTGGCTAGATTGTCAGGGTTTCACTGTACAGTAAGGTGGCTAGATTGTCAATGTTTCACTGTACAGTAAGGTGGCTAGATTGTCAGGGTTTCACTGTGCAGTAAGGTGGCTAGATTGTCAAGGTTTCACTGTACAGCAAGGTGGCTGGATTATCAAGGTTTCACTGTACAGTAAGGTGGCTAGATTGTCAAGGTTTCACTGTACAGTAAGGTGGCTGGATTATCAAGGTTTCACTGTACAGTAAGATTACTGGATTATCAAGGTTTCACTGTGCAGTAAGGTGGCTAGATTGTCAGGGTTTTTACTGTACAGCAAGGTGGCTAGATTGTCAAGGTTTAACTGTATAGTAAGGTGGCTAGATTGTCAAAGTTTCACTGTACAGTAAGGTGGCTGGATTATCAAGGTTTCACTGTACAGTAAGGTGGCTAGATTGTCAGGGTTTCACTGTACAGTAAGGTGGCTAGATTGTCAATGTTTCACTGTACAGTAAGGTGGCTAGATTGTCAGGGTTTCACTGTGCAGTAAGGTGGCTAGATTGTCAAGGTTTCACTGTACAGCAAGGTGGCTGGATTATCAAGGTTTCACTGTACAGTAAGGTGGCTAGATTGTCAAGGTTTCACTGTACAGAAAGTGGCTAGATTGTCAAAGTTTCAGTGTACAGTAAGGTGGCTGGATTATCAAGGTTTCACTGTACAGTAAGGTGGCTGGAATATCAAGGTTTCAGTGTACAGCAAGGTGGCTAGATTATCAAGGTTTCACTGTACAGTAAGGTGGCTGGAATATCAAGGTTTCACTGTACAGTAAGGTGGCTAGATTGTCAGGGTTTCACTGTACAGTAAGGTGGCTAGATTGTCAGGGTTTCACTGTACAGTAAGATTACTGGATTGTCAAGGTTTCACTTTACAGTAAGGTGGTTGGAATATCAAGGTTTCAGTGTACACCAAGGTGGCTAGATTATCAAGGTTTCATTGTACAGTAAGGTGGCTAGATTGTCAAAGTTTCACTGTACAGTAAGGTAGCTGGAATATCAGGGTTTCACTGTACAGTAAGGTGGCTGGATTATCAAGGTTTCACTGTACAGTAAGGTGGCTAGATTGTCAGGGTTTCACTGTACAGTAAGGTGGCTGGAATATCAAGGTTTCACTGTACAGTAAGGTGGCTGGAATATCAAGGTTTCACTGTACAGTAAGGTGGCTAGATTGTCAGGGTTTCACTGTACAGTAAGGTGGCTAGATTGTCAGGGTTTCACTGTACAGTAAGGTGGCTAGATTGTCAAGGTTTCACTGTACAGTAAGGTGGCTAGATTGTCAGGGTTTCACTGTACAGTAAGGTGGCTAGATTGTCAGGGTTTCACTGTACAGTAAGGTGGCTAGATTGTCAAGGTTTCACTGTACAGTAAGATTACTGGATTGTCAAGGTTTCACTGTACAGTAAGGTGGCTGGAATATCAAGGTTTCACTGTACAGTAAGGTGGCTAGATTGTCAGTTTCACTGTACAGTAAGGTGGCTGGATTGTCAAAGTTTCACTGTACAGTAAGGTGGCTAGATTGTCAAAGTTTCACTGTACAGTAAGATTACTGGATTGTCAAATTTTCACTGTACAGTAAGGTGGCTGGATTGTCAAAGTTTCACTGTACAGTAAGGTGGCTGGATTGTCAAAGTTTCACTGTACAGTAAGGTGGCTAGATTGTCAAAGTTTCACTGTACAGTAAGGTGGCTGGATTGTCAAATCTTCACTGTACAGTAAGGTGGCTGGATTGTCAAATCTTCACTGTACAGTAAGGTGGCTAGATTGTCAAAGTTTCACTGTACAGTAAGATTACTGGATTGTCAAATTTTCACTGTACAGTAAGGTGGCTGGATTATCAAAGTTTCACTGTACAGTAAGATTACTGGATTGTCAAAGTTTCACTGTACAGTAAGATTACTGGATTGTCAAAGTTTCACTGTACAGTAAGGTGGCTAGATTGTCAGGGTTTCACTGTACAGTAAGGTGGCTAGATTGTCAAAGTTTCACTGTACAGTAAGATTACTGGATTGTCAAATTTTCACTGTACAGTAAGGTGGCTAGATTGTCAGGGTTTCACTGTACAGTAAGGTGGCTAGATTGTCAAAGTTTCACTGTACAGTAAGGTGGCTAGATTGTCAGGGTTTCACTGTACAGTAAGGTGGCTAGATTGTCAATGTTTCACTGTACAGTAAGGTGGCTGGATTATCAAAGTTTCACTGTACAGTAAGGTGGCTGGAATATCAACAGTCCATTGTGGAAAGGATGATTTTAATTCAAAGATATTTTGATTATTTTATTTAATAATAATTCAGCAAAATAACACTTAAAATCCTTAGAAAAATATATCTTATCTTTCATTTAATTAAGAAAACTGTTTCCTTCCTAAATTTTATCTGAAAGAACCTGAGCAGTGTTGTTGCATAACACTTATCTTCCTGTTGTAACCACAAACATTTCCTAAATGCGATACTAGAGAAAAGTTTCAAATTACATCATACAATCAATCTACTTCCAGTCACGAAGGATTTAAATCCTCTAAGCCTAATTTACATATTGTTTGTTATCCTTCACAACAAAACACGAAATCTACATATTTAGTGCACGGAAGTTTTTAATTGTGTCCCTGCAGTCATGTACAATACATTACTAAGATTGTGAATGATCCTAAATAGTAATGTACATCTATTTGCTTCATTGAATACAAATATTTCTGTCATATAGAATTAAAAAAGACATACCCCTTTATTTCATCTTCATATCTAAGCCATTCTTGCCTTTTCAGTGTTTCTAAAATGTTGTGTATACCCATTTATCAATCCTCACATGAAATCTCGCAATATTACTTGAGAAACTTATTCTGTTCTATTAGGTTCAATATTCATTGAGAAACTTATTCAGTTCTATCAAATTCAATATTTATTGAGAAACTTCTTCTGATCTAAATGCATTGTACCTTTGTCCTCAGCCATATATTATCTAGTAAATATCATTTTCACATGTTAAGCTAGAATCTCGTATTGTGATTTAAGGTGAATTCCTAATTACCATGACCATCTTTTGCCTACATCTGATTATCATTTTCTGTTTATTCAAGTAATACTGACCTTGACATTTTACCTTCAGACAAAATATTAATCTTCAGCAAATACTAATAGATTGAGTATGGTCTACTGTAGTCCAATGAATGCTCTTTCAATGAGAATGACAGGAACGATTTGTACACTGTATGAAATTTGAGAAAGATTCATTCTGTAAATCTCAAGAAACAACAATAAAAATCTTCATAGTCATAATCCAAGATGGCATCTTTCAACCATTTTGGTTTTTCAGATCACTTCCAAAATCAAAAGGGTACAACTAAAAACCAAATACAGCCAACAAATGAAATACTGGATTGATCCATCCAGTACTTCAAAAACAAACTTGTCAAAATTGAAGACGACTGCCTCAACAGCCTGTCATCTTTTATTGCAATCAGTCATAAAATGGACCATGCAAATGTGGGTACCAAGACAAACCTACATATGAATTTGAGAATGATCTATCAAACACTTAGATCTCCAGAAAGAGTGATAACAAGAACTTTTTAAGCATGGACAGATGTAAAACTATATCTGGAAAGTCTGTCATTTGATGATGCCCAAGAGCTAATAAATTCATGACTTTCATTGAGCAAAATCAGACAGGTGAAATGATGCAAATGACTAATTCCAGCACTTATATCAATTATGTGGGAAAACATAAACAAGTGATGTGTTAGGGTTTGTTTGTTCTGAGAAATAATTTATTTGTATCCCTGATAAATACCACTGACAACAGACAGCTCTGATCGGTTGAGTAGTAAGGCTAGAAAGTCCGAGGTCCAGGGTTCGCATCCTAGCAGAGACATTGAATAAATAATGACCTATGTAACATTCAGATGGTAAATTTTTCAATCCTTTTGAGACAATCTTTATATATATACATATATACATGTACTGTAATAAACCATGCTTTCATAACTCTAAATCAAATATTTATGACAACTTTCTTCAAAAACATGGCAACAGATGCATATTTCCTTTAAAGTCAGATGAGGGTGAAAATCATTTTTTGAATGATTTTAATATTGTTATCGTAAAGTAAAGGTGCATTTGTACTTAATGGTCTGTATGACCAGGATTTATAAAAAGATTGGACATTCCAGATGTGGAGGTGGTGGAAGTAGTTGATATCATCTATCAGGCCTATACACAGGACAAAACTGGAATATCCACCGGAACCCAACGGCTGGTTATTTTCATTACATCAGCATAAAAACTCCAAATATAGTACATAAGTAGGCCAGATCATAGATCTGATATGCAGGTGAGTTCCAGGTACACCAGAAGTAAGGTCCCAGATTTCGTGTATAAGCTCCAGTACTCTTGAATGAACTAAACAATGTATCTCTATACCTCAGGTAGATAAGCCGAAATACATGGACTTGGGTCATCATCTGCTGAGTAAACAGGACAAACCGGAACTTTGCCAGCATTAGTGAATGACCTGTCAAATGTTCTTAATGACATTCATCCATTTCCCTATCCCCCACAAAATTCATTAACTGTAAAATTGTGACAGCTGAACCAAATATGTTC